GTACGTCCCGAGTGAAGATATTGAGACAGTCATCTGGAAAAACATGAACAAGCAGGTGACCCTCACCTTGTTTTAGCTCTGGATGTAGGCTGTTAAAAGCACAGCACTCTTGGTGAGGGGAACGCGGTAGAGTAAATGTTTGTTTTCTTTAAGTATGGGTTAGAGAACAGGATAAATGTGTTAGAGAAAGTCTGAAATGAGAGGTGAGACCTTTTTCCATTTTGTACAGTCCATGAGGAGCTTCTCAAACATCCTGAGATCAGCACTACACATTTGTATATAAGCACACGTCTTTTATCACACACACAGACATAAACATGAGGATGGAGAGAGAGGCTTTTACTTAAAGTGATGCATTTACAAACTGTGCTGTCACTCCCATGCTTTAATACAAACACATATGAACACTGCACAGACACTCTCTATACTTCAGATATTGTCATCTTCACTTGAAGGACTATACAAGTTGTGTTTTTTTTTCCAGGTTTGCAGGTCATCTCCAAAAGGTATTGTATGGATGTCTTGAGCTTCTTTTAACACAAATCATATATACACACGTATACATTTATTAATACTTCTCTTTGATTAATACTCAATAAGCAACTCTGTTATAAAACAATACAATTTTCAAGGAAACAGAGTTTTATCCTGCACAACAAAATTAAATTCCATTACTATTTTTTTTTAACTAAAGTAGTTAATTAATGTTAACAAATGGAACCTTACTGTAAAGTGTTTCCATGTTTTACAAGAAAATACTATTTAAATTTTTCTATTTTAAAATTTCACAATGTAAAACATACTCCTATAATGTCTGTTTTCTTTACAACTTTTAAAATATATATGTTTTACAGTATATGTTTTACAGGCACCTTCCAATAGCATTGTGCACTTTAAAAACCTAACTTGAACGACTGGCCTACATTTTTATTTATTTCAGAAATAAGCAGTTGCATACTTTTTTTTTGCACATATGCACATTTATGGCATTAAAAATGTACATAAGTGCAAGAAAATAAAGACAAATGTGCAAGAAAAAATTGATGTAGGTACATTTCTCTTTTTTTCTTGCACATATTTATATTGTTTTCTTGCCTTTTTTTGTACATACATTTTTATCCTGCACCTGTCAGGGTTGCTACTGCGTTGGAGCGAGGAACGAGAAGAACGTAGGAGAATTACAATAATAACAGTTTATTTAATCCAAACCACAGTGAACACAGGACAGGCAGGAACACACACGTAGCACACGGAGTTGACGTTAAACACTGGACAGGAAACAAGGGGCAGAACACACTTTAAATACTGAACTAAACGAGGGAATTAATGAGACACACCTGAGATCAGTCAAATACAATCGGAACAAGAACAGGAAAATAACCAAATATGGGCATGTCACACATGAGAGAAAACTAGGTCAATGGGAGCACATGGGGAGCAAAAACACACACAGACAGTCCATATTCCTGACAGCACCACAAAATGTCACACTGGTGCTGTATTTGTGCTGGAATCCATTACTTTACCAATAGCTACATTTTTTATGTTTTTTTTTTTTTTTATGTATTCAGTTTCTGGAGCCATAAAAATGGGATGCAGAACTGCAGTTTAAAACTGAATTCAGTAAATATTCAAATGATAGAATTTAAATTAATAGAAATTACTTAAGTATAATTTTAACTAAAAAAGGCACGTTTGTCAAGACATACTTTAAAGGTTAGTGAGATAGCTTTGTTTGAAACTTCTATAAGCCTGACACACATAGACAGAAAGATAAAGACACAAATAAATACATTTGAATGTACTATAATTTATGTATATTTCATCATATTAAACCAGCATGGAAGAATACTACATTTCCCAGAATGCATGATATATAAAATACATGATAATATCTAGAGTCCTGAGGCTTTGATGGAAACCTCCAAACTGTGTCGAGAATAGGGGTGTGCGATATATATCGTCTGCGATAATATCGTAACTTATTGGAAAAGATTAATTTCTATCAGTATGAACTGACCACCACACAGAATATGAAGAATATTAAAAACATTAGGAGTCAGCTGTCTTCGGCTGTCCTTAAGGTACCAGCACAATAACACACTCAGCAAAATATTGTCTAATTATCGTTATCGATAAAATCCCATAAAATATCGAGATATAATTTTTTGTCAATATCGCACACCCCTAGTCGAGAATGTCACTAAATCAACGTTTCAAAAGTCATTACAGTGACATTAACCTTATATGACCGCTCCGGATTAGAGCATCATTCGCCTAAGCCCGTGGACTTCCTCTGGTAAGGAAGCTGTGGGTTTGTGGAAGCTCCAATGACAGGCTTCGGATGGCCTCCAGTGTTCCCTAATTAATTAACTTGCTCCCTGAAGTGTTCCCACAGTGTCGTCTCAGCTAGCTCTTAGCTGTGTGTTGCCATCTTCACACATGGCTAGACAAGATACTTTGTTTATTGTACAAGGTTCTGTTTGTTCAGGGCTTTGCTAGCTAGCGGATGGCAGGAGGTAATGCCATGTCATGCTGCGGCATGCTAATTACCGCTAAACACGGTAAACCCAACACCCTGGACAGAGGATGCGTCACAGCATGGCACTAAGCCTAAACCCTTTGCTTCTCTGTATCTCTCCTCTTCTTGTCTTCTCTTCTCTATTCATTCAGCACAAGCTCACTGGGGATTTCACACTTTATCATCTCGTCTAACGCTCCGCAGAGCACTGGAAAACGCCGTCTGCAGTAGAGTGATCCCGTAGTAATGAGATTTGAGCTACATCAAAGTACCGTGCCTTTGAGGGAGGAAAACAGATCAGAAAAATAGGACTGAAATGCAAATCCTTCACGAAGATGACCATGAGTTTTCTACCTCGAGAACACAATATGAAAGTGGTGAATTCAAGTTTTCAAGACAGCGAGAAGCTCATAAGTACCATCTTTCGCGAATGAGCCTTTAAGAACATCAGTTTGCTTATTGAATTCTGATATAGAAACAGAGAGAGGGGGAGGAGGAGAGAGAGAGAGATGAGCAGCAAACAGAGTCGTTGTGAAATGGGTAGAAAAATGGGTTAGAAGTGAAGCTGTGAAATAATGCTCATGGGAGGAAATGAGGAATTGAGTCATTGTGCTCAAAACCAATCGCTGGCCTCGTTCTGAAACAAATACACACGTGTAGCACCCACTACATTTACATATGTGTTTGGAACAAACACATCTTTATGTGTTCCCATAGGGATATGGCAGCTGTGTGAATGAAGATATGATTAGAAATTGAGGAAGGAACATGGTTAAAGAGCCAGAATGATATATTTATATTTATGATGACTTGATAAGAATGCCTGTCAGGTACAGAAGCTCACATTTGTTTTGATACAAAGCTATTTTGGAACGTAAATACATTATGGACTGAATGTCATGGGTGGTAGGGCTGGGTATCGATTCAGATGTCCCGATTCGATTCGATTTCGATTCGCAAGCTCTCGATTCGATTCGATTCTCGTTTTTTTTTATTACATTCAGTGAATATAGTTTTAATACAAATGCTATTGATATTTCTAAAAAATTAACAGTAAACATCAGTTTACAAATGGTGAATTAATAAAAAGAAATTAAGAACCACATACCTGTATTTTAAACCTATTCTTTTTTTTTGTATAGGGTCCTTTTTTAAACAATAATAGGGCCCTATAAAATGTTCTTAATTTTTCTGGTAATCAGATGTAGGCATAAAACATTAATTTATCGTAATCAAATGAAAATTAAACCCTTTTATTTTTTGGCAAACAAAGTCCTGCACAACAGAGGTTTACTGTTAAAATTAAAAAGAAAACAGATGTGATTATTTCTTTAAAAATAAATATTTATTAATATTTATTAGCAGTAGTAGCATTGAGTCTTAAGACTGCTAAATAGTAATATATTCTGACAGT